TCCTGCTGAGTAGACTTCTTTAGTGTTACAGAAAGCATGAGACTACACTAAATGGAAAATAATGACACATCAACAGCCTTTTAAGAATTTAAACTAGACTGGACCAGCAGGGCGCAACTCTCTCTCTCAGAAGTAACACAGAATTTAGCAACTAGAACTACCTTACATATAAATTATGCACAAAGAATTGTGGGGTAAATCCAGTGCAATCCTCTGAATTTATGACAAAATAATTATTTAGAACTGAAAAATCTAATGCCATGGCCTTTATCAGTGTGGCACTGAATATTGTATTGTTATTTTCTTCCCCCCAAAAACTGAACATAACAAACAAACATTCTGACTTGGTTGCATTTTATGCTTTGCATTGCTGTCACAAGACAACCTACAGGGCAGCGGTAAACCATCTCACATTGTAATTTTTCAATATGTGAAAAAAAAATAAGTGCGTGACAATGAAACAGCTTGCTTGCCACTGAGGGTAAAGTGATTGTTAGCCTAAATCTCTAGTTAACCGTCGCTGTTGCTTAATGTCCTAGATTCTTCTTGCTTCCTAAGAACAGACTTTGTGAAAATACCTGCTGTTCTCTTCTCCTTTACAAGATGACACACCAATATGTTTTTCCAGGGCATAAAAAGGTAAGAACAGAGATTGTGTCTTCCTAAGATGCAAGATCCTGTACACAGTATTTGGACAAACAACCAAGAACTTGTAATTTTATTTACAGTATCTGATTAAACAGAAGATGACTCATAGTTAATAAACTATGTATATCACAATTTCTGTATGTTGCCTCTCATTCTTCATTAAAAGTAATTACATAAAACCCCAGATCTTTATTATTTTTACAAGAACAACCAGTCCTTTGAACAACTCTTCAGTTGAACTCAAACATCTTTTGGCCTATGACAAAATAACATTTGTTGAAGTGATTAGGATATTGTGAAGTTTTGCTCACCCATGGATAAAAAAAGCAAGCGAGACCATTGCTCTCTCTAATAATAACATCCCTGATCTCAGGCAAAGATCCTTGGTAAAAAGACAAGTGACGAAAAAAACTAAAAAAAATGTATTTAAAGACAAATGGGGCTTCTAAATGCAAAAAAATATTGCTAATCCACATACCATGAAACAGGTGGTGTTTTTATGAGTCCTCTATTCTTAGTGGTACAATCACATGATATATTCTGTTGAATAATTAAGACTAAACTACAATTTGCAAAATGAATGAATAAAAGGTAATTTTTGTGTTGTGTATTACCTTTTTTGAGCTTGTTCATTTGCTGACTCGTATAGTCCACGAGTTTGCAATGGGCCTCCCAGCGATGAGTGAAAATACACTCACAAGTGACTGCTAGTTGAGGCCAAAATACTGATCTTGCGTTTATTAACCTCAGTGAGAAAATCTGGAATGTCACGTGTGCACAACTCGATGCACAACCCTAAGTTTAACAAAAACTATTATTAATTTATATTTATACTGTAGTAAGGCTTAAGTACCATAATCAGGTTTGAATATGTATGGTCAAGTTCTATACAAACAAAAAGATTTGCAGGCCCACTCTCAACGAGCCAATTATATGGAAATAAGATGTGGGCATTGTGGTTTTTCTTTTCTTACTACCTCAAATTCTTACTAAAAACATCTGAGGCCACAATGGCAATATTGGTTGTATTGCTACTGGCAAAAAAACTGAACCCCTCCGTCTCCTCCTCCCCAAAACAGAGTAAAAAAATGAGTATCAAGGAAATCACTCAAGGGTCATTTCCTATATGACTTAGTAAAATGCTCCTTATTCACCTGAAAATGGTGAACAGATTTCATATGAACTGATAATAGTAATATTTTAATAACCATGAGATTAAAAAAAAATAAAAGCTGGTCTTTTGAGGCCTTATGTAAACAAAATAGTTGCACTGATTAACTATATTTGTTTTTAAAACAATTTAGTTAAAAGCAAATGCCCTGTATGGATACCCTCAAATAGTCTGAGTGCATGCAAAGTGGTTGCTCCAATTAAAATATTTACAGCACTTCAATTACATGAATGCAACTTTTGGGAGCAGACAAGGTCTGGCATTGAAGGAATAGAAAAAGTTTCATCAGGTACTGTAACTAAAATGAAGCCACAGCTGTGCTATCTATGTCTTTCTTCCCTCACCTTCCTCCAGCCCACCACACGGACACTGTGGGAGTCTCTTTTTTATCCTGAGGATTCCCTTAGTTTGAGTGATGCAGAGTGCTGACTACTGATACAGTAAAAAAAAAAAAAAAGGATATAATGAATGGCTGAAGCGCGGAGTTATGAAAAAGAATGAAATAGCACTGCATCCTCGCAGCCCAACACTTGCATGCTTCTAAGCTGTGTCAGTGGGCGCGTCTATACAAGATGCTATGTCACCATAGCAATGAGCTACGGCAATGTGGCAGCGGCAGGCACGAACTGTGATGCTGATGCTACTGTGCAGCACCTCGTTGCTACTACACAGTAGGGTCAGAAATGACCCATGCACTGCTGGGACTGCGCAGTCACTAAATGACTGCCCAGTAACAACTGCAAAATCTGGAGCGTGTGTAGATGTACCCACCGTCTGTGTTACTAGACTAACTTGCCCTGGGGCGAGTTTATTTTATCAATTTCATCCTGTGAGTTTATTCACTGTATTGTGAAATCTATGGACGCCTATACACAAACCTGCTGGAGCATGGCAAGACCACGATCCAGCAACCTCCTGCATCTTGCATATCAGCATCCCTGCGCTTAAAAGTGGCAGAGGAACATGAACTAAATAAAGCTCGTCAACGAGCTTTAGTTCGAGCGCCCCCACCGCCATTTTTAAGTGTGAGGACACTAATGCATGAGATAGCCACACAAGCGCCAGCCTCTCAGAGCTGCTCTAATTAAAGCCTGTTTCCCCATCGCTGGAGAACATGTAAAAGTGTCCTATGATAGCAAATTTTTAATGCTGGCTCATTCTGAGGGCAGAAAGGCAAACAGTGGTCTAGACAGCACTTAGGGACTGTTTCTGTGGATTGCTGGATAAAAGTAGCATACTGTCTACACTAGACAAACTGCGAGCAAGTATAGGAGGACTAAAGAGTTTAGGCACTTTTACCATTGTGCCATTAAAGCCTGCTGTGCTTAAGCCCTCTTTCTGAACTAGTGCAGACATATTTTACAACCTCTTAATGTCACAGAGGTTTTTAAATTGTTTAATGTAGACATTCTAGAAGTTCCAGTTTTATCCAGTGATAGCCAATTCTGAGAGGCACTGCCTTTCTTAGAAACTACTTATTTCTCCCTTCAAAGCAGAAAGAGAGACAATGGCAGTCAGCAAGAGGAAGAGGCAGAAAGAGAGAAAGCCTCTCAGAATGACAGGGAAAGTAAAAATCTCAATATCCCTCCCAGCATGCCTGAAAAGGGGAGGAAGAATAAAAAAGAGGAAGAAGCCTGGGTTTTCAAGTGGAAGCCCAAGTATTTAAGAACAACATTTACAATTACCTAATTGCCTGTTTCTGAAGCGTTAAGAGTTTTGCTACACACCCGAGAATTAATACTGCTGTTACTATTATAAACTTCTAACTACATCCATTTTTGGATTTTTTTTTTTTTTTTTTAACTTCATTCTCCAATTAACAAATCACTACAGAGAAAGCCTGCCTCCTACACTACTTCCCTTTACACTCCTTACCTCCGAGGCAATCTTAGAAAATATACATCTTTTAGCTGAATTACAAGACAACACATGCCTCTGCTTACACATGTAAATCCTTTACATATACAATAAACTGACTTTCCAAAACTTATACAAAACAGCTGTCAGCTAAAAATAAATATTCCAAAGAAACTAAGACAGTTAGTTAAAACTCAGCTCCCATCAAACTTAATGTGTTTTAGGGATCAAATTCCCTTAAACTTCTAACCCAGGCCAAAGGTTTAATTTTGTCTGAAATTATATTGCTAGCATATTTCAGTCAAAGAGTAAACCGCCTCGAAAATATTCTTTTTTAATTCTTAAACACAACCCACAAAGAGAGGAAATTGTCCACTCATTTTTCTTCTTGTACCAGAGTAACACAAATGGCTTTTACTTATTCTTCAGAAGAGTTCTTTTCATTAAAATCTCATCTCCCTTGTTTTGGCTGGAGGATTCCTGGGAGAATTAAAATATTAGGGGGGAGCTCTCAGCCTCAGCTAGAAAGCTTTCCTCTCCAGTGTTTTTCAGGCATCTGTGTTAAATGAGTGTTATCAAAAAATCCATCCCCTCTCAGTTGCTCAGATTTCAGTCTCTTGATGTTATAATCCCACAGTTCTCCAAGAAATTCTCCAGAAAAAAATATGGTCTGATATTTCTAATGAAGACAGAGAAAATAACTTTCCCCTGTGGGAAAGAACCAATTTAGGACCTTCTTCAGTGCGTAAGGATGCAAAAAAGGGAACAATTATTTTTTTCCCTCCTCACTTTTTCAGTTATCTTTAAATTAAGGTTTCACAGATGGCACCGATAGGTTGAAATCATGTGATCTGTCAGCAGAAAGCAAGTGGTCCACTTCCAATTCCAGCAAC